CTGGGTGGGTATGTGCAGAGCAGCGGGGGGTGGAATGCCTTCAGGATGCCGCCGCCTCTGCTGCTTACACACAGCAGTAATGCATTCACAAAAGCCAGCGATAAGTATAATGCTCGAACACGCGCGTCTAAATTATCCGGCGATCAGTGGATTCTGTTTACAGCATTGGAAGATCTCATTCCCCCTATCTCGCCGTCTCCGTCCCCTCCTCTTGCTCGTTCTCTCCCTCTATGCACTCCTAACACCTCTTCTGCGTGGCTGCTCCCTCGCTAATCCACAGTGACACATCTCACCATTCGGATCTCACACAGAGAGCGCCTGCCTCGCTGCAGCTGATAATGTGCAATGCGCCACAGAGAAGCAATCAGACGATTTAACACAGAAATAAAAACGGGCAGCTCGAACGTGACAGGTAATTTGTCATTAAAAGGCCCCAATTTCCGACAATCGTTTGCAGTTCAGGACTTTTTGCTGTCTGCAAGTTTGCATGTTTTTACTGTATTGCTCTACATTGACAATAAAAAGGAAATAAAGCATAACATGCAAGTAATGCAAGTAAATCTTATCAAATTAGAATTCCAGGTGTGCCCAAACATTTTCCCTGAAAGGGCCAAAATTAAAATCAATCTGAGGGTGGTGGGCCAAATGCAATAATATAATACACAAAATGCAAATATTTGAAGTAAAGTTGTATTTTTTATGATTAAGCTAGCAGCCAGTGTGGTTGTCCACATTTTCTTGTTTGTTTGTTTGTTTGTTTGTTTGTTTGTTTGTTTGTTTTCAGCCCAGGGACATGGAGAAAAATCAACTTATGCTCGGGCAGAAAAGGCTCATGGGACTTTTCATAATTTAAAATTTGAGTATACGTATGTGGTCTTGTAAGGTGTGCAAATCTAGATATGGACTTAAATCTCATAAATATCTCTTGAAGTTACTTTTATTTTAAGTTTAATCTTAACAAAATTCAAAGATAAAGTGAACACCAGAAGTTCAGACTATCTGACTACAGCTCCTTGTACATATAGTTGGACCAATGTTTGAAAAGACTAAGTGCAAATATAGTATTTCTACATAAGACAGACGATTACAACCTARTAACCAGGATATCTGCTGGTGGGCCAAATCAAGTGGCTTGGKGGGCCAAATTTGGCCCGCGGGCCCCACTTTGGGCACYTCTGCTCTAAAGATTTGAGTTGTAGATGCACGCTCAGTGAGTCACRGGCATGACAAAAGCTTGCTTGACTTTTCACTTTTAGTGAAGAAAGAGGGGAAAAAGTACTCCATCACTTTAAGTGGCACAAAKAAAGCTACCATATATGCATGTTTGATGTCCTGCCACATAGATAACGACCTTCCATTCCCATCAAACACTTTCTGATTGTATTGATCCCGGGCATTCAGAATGTCTCTCTGCTCTGTGTTTGCGAAAGCTTTTTTGCACAACTTACATGGCTGCTGCTGACAAACACACACACAGACACACACAGACACAAGAGAGCTGAGACCAGGCCTGAAGACATCTTATTACCATCAGTGGAGTGTAAAGAGCACTGCAATTATGAGTTGTTTACTGGTACATTAGAAAAAAAAGATAACTATTAGCYGTTATAGTGAATTTGTGTGATGGGTTCGCTTTGCAGAAATCCAATATTAAAATGTTAGTTTTTCCTGTTTGTTCGAATCATCTTTACTTGGATTATAGTTATTACCTGTTGCAGAAAAGCAAAAAAAGGTGCGAWAATATTTTCACTTTGCTTATTTGAGGGCGCATGTGTAAATGTATCTGTTAGCAAATCATCTCATAAAGCTTTTTGAAACTGATTAACATTTGTTGCAGCCTAATTTAAGATGGCTGACACAACCAAGTGACCTTAAACAAAACTAAAAATGATTATAATTTCAGCGATCTTACAGATATTTACTTAAAATTGGGTATTGTAGTGGCTAAGGCAGGCGACATGCATTATATTAAGGAATGCTAGGCCTTTAATTTATCACTTAAGTTGTAGCCATGCCTCTCTATATTCCCCTCATTCCCTACCGTGCCCTTAATATGATTAAAAAAGCCTTTTTTAAAAACACCTAAAGCCATATTAATATTTTAGCTAGTGAGCAAAAAGGGCACAGGTTTGATGATTTAAAAAAAAAAGAATCCGAGCTAAGATCAAAGTCAGAAAATTCACATGGATCAAATCCAATCTTACTCTGTCACACTCAATGTTTAAAAAAATAATAATTTTTATTTGAAGAATTATCAATGAAAATAACAGGTAAGAAAATGGCATGATTTAAACAGAACAGTGAGGTGAATTTCACATGTAATCAAACATCAGACACATCAGTTAGACGCTCCAGAACTAAACTGTCAAATTATTTCAAGTTCATCCAATGAAAACTGACTGAGTGACAACAAACTGTAAAGTAAATCTTTTAGCACAACGCTGATTTACAAACTGTACAGAAGAGATTATATAATGCTGGACAAATCATAAAGTCAAGGCTCTGCCACCTGTTCGAACTGTAACAGCTACTGTAGAGAAACTGTGCAAATAGATTTGTTTTTAGTCATCCAGCTATGAGTAATGTTTTTTAACATTTGCAAAATCTGTGGCCTATTAAAAAAAATCCATCCATCCATCCATCCATCCATCCATCCATCCATCCATCCATCCATCCATCCATCCATCCATCCATCC